TACGTGTCACGTTACGTTTCGCAAATGTGTATTTTGAAATTCAAATTCATATTCATATAGATATGATCTGTGGTTACATTCAATTTCCTATATATGGTTTTACCATTATTTATGATATTAATATCTAATATTGAGGGTAAATGTGTCAACAAACTTCACACAGTACTTATGGGAACATAAGTTTTTTAGTAGGACCATATGTAGCATAAATCTCCCTAATAGGACTTATAAATAATTTTCCCTCTTTTTTTTTTTTGTGTGTGCGCGCACGTGTAAGATAAAGTTTAGGCACTTTGTTTTGTTTTGGACCTTTTTATTCAAAATAAATAAATAATAAATCACATAAGCATATTATATTATATCAAAAAATTAAAAATTTCCAATTTTACCTAAAGCTTAGGCTTGACTACCCTTATGATAAGGTCGGCACTGGATGTGTATTAAGAGCATCTCCAATGATTTGCCATTAGAGCTGCCAAAGCTATAATATAGCAACTTTGAGGAAAAAAGAGGTTCTCCAATGGTGAGATATAGCAGTTGTCAAAATTGGCAAATGCCAAATCTGCCAATTCACCCAAAACCAACTGATTTCTTTCCTTTCCTCCTTCTTTCCCTCCCCTTCTCATCATTTTCTAGAAAATGCTCAAAAAAAAAAAAGAAAAAAAAAAGATCGCTTTTTTCATTTTGCGAAATTCAAGAAATTTTTTTAAAGCAAAACTCACCAATTTGTTTAAACAGTTTTGGCAATTGACATTTGAAAAAAAAAAAATCAACAATTTTTTTTAAAAAAAACAGAATTTGACTAAAATAACAACAACATTTAAGTAATTTCAAATAAATTTGAAGCAATCTCAAACAAATTTCAAATAATCTCAACAAATCTCAAGCAATCCAAGCAATAATCAATAAATATTAAGCAAATTTTAAACAACAAATACCTAGATTTAAAGAGACTTGATGAATTTCAGATGATTGAGGCACTCTGAAGCTTCAGCTTCATCTTTTTCGTTTTCATTTTCTTCAGAAAGCCGATTTGGATGAGTTTCGGTTTCAAGGGTTTCATCTTCTTTGTGTTCATATTCTTCTTCAAGTGATTTCAAGGGTTTCATCTTCTTCGTTTTCATATTCTTCGTTTTCATATTCTTCTTTAAGTGATTTCAACGGTTTCGATTTCTTACAGACAAATAGAAGATAAAGGTTTAGGGTTTCTCACTGACAAATCGAAGAAATACCTAGATTTAAAGAGACTTGATGAATTTCAGATGATTGAGGCACTCTGAAGCTTCAGCTTCATCTTTTTCGTTTTCATTTTCTTCAGAAAGCCGATTTGGATGAGTTTCGATTTCAAGGGTTTCATCTTCTTTGTTTTCATATTCTTCTTCAAGTGATTTCAAGGGTTTCATCTTCTTCGTTTTCATATTCTTCTTTAAGTGATTTCAACGGTTTCGGTTTCTTACAGAGAAATAGAAGATAAAGGTTTAGGGTTTCTCACTGACAAATCGAAGATAAAGGTTTAGGGTTTTAGTTTCTCACAGAAGGTTTCGAATTTTTTGTTCGATGGAGAAAATGAAGCTGAAGTTCATGATCTGCAATCCAAAGAGGGGGGTGGAATATAGAAGATGATCTACGAGTGAAGAGGAGGTGATTTGAGATCCGAAGTTCGTGATTTGCGATCTACGATCCAAAGCTAAAGTTCATCAAGGCTCCACGATTTCTCTCTCTCTCTCTCTATGATCTTCACTGATCTGAACATTCCGGAGTGAAGATAGAGTGAGAGAGAGAGAGATAGAGAGGAAGACGACCGGTGATTGGTGATAAGGGTATGAAGGAGTGAAAGAAAGGTTTAAGGGAGATGGTTTAAAGGATGAAAAGAAAGAGAAACAGAGAGAGGCGATTGAAATAAAGAAGAAGATAGTTGATCTTAGAGAAACAGAGAGTTGGGAGACAGGGGGTTGTGGTGGAGAAGAGGGTTGAAGAAAGAAATTTAGGGTTTAAGGGTTAGAGATCAACAATGGATGTGGTCGTGGTCGTGGTTCTGTTGGTTGTGGTGGTAGTGGTGGTCGTTGTGGTGATAAAGAAGCTGAGAGACAAAGGAAGAGAGTATGAGGGGAAGAGATGAAGACGGTAAAAGAGAGGGAGAGAGATGAGGACGGTGAGAGAGAGGGAGACATATGCAACACCTTGCTACTCTGCAATGGAGAGAGACAGAGAGATAGATAAAGAGAAAGCTGACTTGGGAGATTGGTTCAAATGATTCCAGAGGGTTCATCTGAACTGTTGGATTATTTATTTTGTCATTGGAATGCACAAATTGAGCAACGACTCTTTTCGTCCTCCAATTCGGAAATGTTTGAAATGGCTCTTTTTAACGGCTATAAATTAAACGGATAAAAAAAATGTCATATTTTTACTCTCTACAATATAAACAACCAATCTCAATTTGAATTCACAACTTTCAATCCACATTATTTTTTTTTTTACACAATCAGTATGGAAGATTCATTAAAAACAAAGAGAGGAAACTCATTCACCACTCAAGAAGATGTGACAATTTGTAAAGCTTGATGTCATATTACTAAAGACCCAATTATTGAGAATTCGCGATCTCATGCTCATTTATGGGGAAGAATTTTTGAAAATTATTGATCGCTACAGAATGATCACTCAAGAACATAAGTGTCTATCTCACCTCGATGGGGTGTAATCATGAAATTTTGCAACAAATTTCGTAGGTATTTAGTGCAAGTCAAAAATCTACACCCAAGTAGAATGTCTCAAGTTGATATAATAAGATTTCATCTTCATTTATTATGTTAGTTTTTTTATTTTGTCTTATATAAAATTTAACTAATTAATTAATTTAGTATTTTATTGATACAGATGTTTCAAGCGAAACTTTTATACCATCAAGATGAAAACAAATATTTTACTATTGAACATTGTTGGCCAATCTTGCAAAATAATATCAGATGACAAGATGTAACTTCTACGAGCACAGTGAAGTCAAGGATACATGTACCATTTTCCCCTGATTCGGCTCTCGAATTCCTTATGGATAACTACATTTTTCTTGAAGACGATAACAGTCCAAATGTTTGTAACAATCCAATTGTTGGTAATAATCCAATTGGTGAGGGTAGTGTCTCTACAAGGGGTAAAAGGCCTATGGGTAGGAAATCTACAAAAGAATTGCTTTGAAAAAGTCAAACTATTGAAGCTGAAGTTTACAAATTTAATAATTTGTTGGAGACATTTAACCAATACTTTGTTGAGAAGACAATAAAAAAACCTGAAAGAGAATAAAAAAGAGTTCAAGCATTGCAAGAGATGAAAGCACTTGAGATAAAAAAAGAAGAACATTTGCAAAAGATGAAAGAACTTGAGATAAAAAGGGAAGAATATTTGATAATGACTACGGATATTTCTCATTTGGACACTCAGACAAAAACATATTATATAATGCTCAAAAATGAGATTTTCGCAAAATGGTCCGCACATGTCAGCAACCCAAATTACTATTTTTCCCTACCTCCTGATGAATAATTACGGAAAAATATATTTTTTAATTTTGCAATGTCATTTATTAGTCAATGTAATTTTTATTATTTCTTTTTAAATATAATTTTTATTTTGCAATGTAATGTAGTGGTTTATGCAATTTTAATGTAGTTAATAATTTTTTTTTTTAATTTTGTAGTTTGGTGTTTTTTTGATGAGGTGAATTATATAAATAAAATAAAAAAATTAATTTTTTCAATTTTTTTATATTTATCTAGTAGGATACAATGTAAATATTTAATTTTTTTTTTAAAAAAAAAGTTTAAAAAAGGTCACAAAAGACAAAAATAAAAATAAAAAAATACTAAAAAACTTATATCTGAATAACACCTACAAAATTTGAGGAAAAATTGGTTGAGATTTGCTAAAATAGAATGTGACCATTAGAGTACTATTGCTATAATTTGACAATGACAATGCTATAAAAGCAAATACTATTAGAGATGCTCTAAAGCTCTGTTTGTTTTCAGAAGTAAAATAGAGGGGATTGATAGCGAGGAAATTGATAATGAAGGGGTTAAGTAAATTGTATTTGTTTTGATGATAGTTATTAGTGTGAGAATTGTTAAATTATTACCCTATAAAAAAATATAAAATATTAAAACAAATAAAATTATGATTTTTACTTAACAAAAAATACAAAAATATTAAACATTAAAGTTCAAAAAAAAAAAAAATGTCCAACATGTAAAAAAAAAAAACCGAAGCCAGTGGACTAAATATCACATACACCTCCTCTATCTCAATCCCCTTTTCAAACCCCATCATAATGTGGACCTCTATCTCGATCTCTTTTCTATCTCCCAAAACGAACAAAATATTAATAGATTCCATCTCCATCTCCACCTCCATCTCAATCCTGATCTCCTCTATATCCTTCAAAACAAAGGGGGCCTAAGATGCTTAGTTGTGTGATATCAAAAAGAATAATTTTTATTGGGGGATAGAATTGTAATTTTAAAAAATAAATAAATAAGTGGTGCAGAGGGAGCCTTGTGTAAATTGATTTTTCCACAAGATAAATAACTCCATAACCCTAGATCCAGAGAAGTGAAGAAGAGCCGCTCATAGATCGCCGCGGAAGAGAAGAGGAGAGCTTGAATCTGCTGAAGTCGGGCATGATGTCCTGCCGAAGCTCCTTCGATCTTCAATCTCCATCGTTTTATGTCGCAGGTAAGTTTGGCACCGGCTTGAAATTCGTTTCATCTCGTCCGTTTGTTTCCTGAGAAAATTGAGGGGAAAAAAAGCAATCTTTTTTCTCGGCAACCAAGCGGAAATGATTTTGGAGTAGGGTGCCAATTATCTGCGACACAAACTAATGGAGAAATGGAGATCAGAGGCGTTTTAGGCAAAGCATTTTGAATAGGAGGAAAACTTTTCGGAATTTCATTTTATTTTAGTAGAATCTCGCGCGCCTTCCAATGTTCTCTTTCTTCGGTCTAACTTTTCCATTAACATACTCTCTCTCTCTCTCTGTCTCTCTCTTAACTTTTTCATTGAAGATATAGATGTATCAGGTAATTTCAGGTAGTCTAATTTGTCTATGTAGGTGTTTGGGAAGTGTTTTTTTTTTTTGTAGATTGTTTGAGTTGCAGGATATTATTGGCGAATTTTTTTTTGTGTTTGGAAAGATAATTGGATTTTTTTGTGATTAGATGTGACGTTTGTGAAAGAAAAAGTGAAATTATTAGAGTTTATAATTAACCCTTGGATTAGTTAATTCAATCAGAATTGCTAGTTTATAATTAACCCTTGGATTGAAGGAAAAATGGGGCTTAATTTTGATTCGGTGTGTGAAATATGCTGTGTTTGATTTATAAAAAAAATGTGAACTTTCAACAATTTTGACTTTGGTTCTGAAACCAAATCAAACTAAAATTTGATGACAAACCCGACATTTAGATCTAGTTTGTTGGTGATGCGAGTGGAGTTGAGACAGAAATTTTAGGATATTCTTTCTTTTGATGTAGACCTCTGTTTCAAGTTGCAAATCTTACAAATTATGCTAGCACTGGTTGAAGGAGCCAGGGTGCAGGAGCAAGAGCAAGTATTACGAATCAGCATAGCATGAAACAGTCAAACCGATTAGAAAATTTAGCAACAAAAATAGCAAGAAAACCTGTGCATTTTCTTGACATAGAAGAGATGTTTAAGATTTTTGGACTAGAATACACCAATGAAACAAGAAGTGAATGACTTTGTTTACTGTAACGTTTAAACATTCTCATTAATCGGCAATTGAAATGGTCTTTATTAACCTCAAAGGCAGTAATCAAGCCATTTCTTGGTCTGGTTCATGGCTCAAACATTCGGAATTGCTTCCCCTTGTGTCAATAAAGGGTTAAGCTTAGTTATTAAGTACCTAAACACTTGTAAGGCTTCCTAACTTTTACCCCCACCACCTATACGCACATTACAGTAGGTGGTCGTGTTGGGCTAGAGTGAGGCCCATACACATGAACCTGTCTGACCAATCAAGGTTTTGACGGTCTTGCTAAAAGCTTTGAAATGGGATGAATTCAACTGCAGACCACGATGAGGGCACAATGGTATGCACTGTGCTTTCTTGAACTTGATAACTTTGAATGACTTCAATCGATACCCCTTGAGATTGTAATTTGACTTAAATATCTTTTTATGCACTGTGCTTTCCAATCTATCATTATACATGAATCTATACAAGTACAATTTATAATACATGAATACATACAACTCATGTTGATTGTTGCTTACAACACAATGAAAGCTGTAGATGATAAGAAGTTCAAGGGCAATGCTTCTCAAGCAAATGGAACATATTGTCTAAAAGTAATATTGAAGAAGCATCGCTAAGGAAGGGCACGCTTCTCTGCAGAAGTATTTGGCATTCCTCTGGCTTTGCTATCATTGGATCAAATGAGTTGCGATCAGAAAGAACTAAACCTTGTTTGATGCGACCTACATACCGAGAATGCAATACTTGCTTCGAAACAACTGGAAGCCGTATGGACTGAAATTCTCCGAAATTCTCCGAGCGCTGAATGCAGATTTTCTGCTCCCCGCTTCTCAAGGCACTTGCCTAAAACTGCTGCGTCTAATATTGTCATGTTTCTGCTCCTTGAGCTGTGCGGGGTTATTGGATGAGCAGCATCCCCAACTAATACAACATTGTCCCAAACTATTTGTTCTAAAGGATCACAATCATATATGACATTTATGAAAGGTTCCTTTGTTTCTTTCATGAGTTTAACCATTTCAGGAACCCAAACCTTCTCTGCTTCTTCATACATTTCCTTGATCATGTCGCTGCTTTCATGGTCACTGAGTTCCTCTGCATTCATATTTTCCACTAGTCAGTTCAAATTGGTTAAACAAGACCAGAGTCTGCGGATGAAACTTAAGGAATTGTAAAAAAGGCAGTCTCCTAGTGCCTGAGGCTCGCTCTACCACCGGATTTGGGGAGGGTCAAATGTATACAGCCTTATCTTCCCATGCAGAGGTTGTTTCTGTGGATTGAATTCATGACTCCGAATTCCTAACTGAGCAACATGACCATTTTGTCAAAGCTTGCCCTCTTAAGTAAAGGAATTGTTTAAATTTATTTTTGAATTGATCCAACATCCTTAAACTGTCTTTTCTTCTCGAAATGAGTCAATAACTAATTTGTTTTTTAATATCCTTACACTGTCTAACCAATTTGTTTTTCAGAACACTAATCTATGTCTGGCAGTCTTTCCAGGTCAAATTGCCTATGAATTTCTAGCCTATCCAGCAACAGTTACAGAAGACTGTGGAGATCAGCCCAGTGTGCCGCTATAAAATTTAAGTTTTCATCTCTTGCAAGTGTCCATCTGATATTCTTGTCACCATCTGTTGCTTCATTCTATAGGCAAACAGAAACTTAAAATGAAAAAGAGAAATGAGGGAAAAGTTACTGATCTTATTGTGTTTGAATTTAACAAGGGCTGTCTACAAACCTGTGGCATGCCACATTGTCTGTAGGTCACATGAGTGGCTTGTAAAATGAAGAGAAACTCTTAGAAGAAAAAGAAAACTTAAAATTTGACTGTTTGATAATATGGTCAAAAAGCCATTTCGATGACCATCTCTTAAGGAGCCAATACCACAAAGATCTCATGCAGGTGAGGCCATTTTTTTTACAGTTTACTTGATATAGAGGTGTACACAGAGGTTCAAATTTGGTAAAAGTATTTTTTAAGGGGCCAAGGTTGGGTGCAGATCAGGAAGCCACAACTCGTTTAAATTGTTCGAGTATATTCTCAACACGCTCCCACACATGTTAGACATAGAAACGTGAAAATATTATGGGCTTGTTTGGTTTGTTTTTGGGAGAGTTGTTTTTGAAAAAATTTTGGGGAGAGAGTTTAGAAATTTTTTTGGTTTGTTTGGTTGTATATTTTGGGAGAGTTGTTTTTTTGGGAGTTTGGGATGATTTGATATTTTGGGAGAATTTGAGTAGATGTGTGTGAGAGAAAAAGTGATTGAGAATGAGAGAGGAGAGAGAAAAAGTGATTGATTGATGTGTAAGAGAGATAAAGTGATTTTGGAAATTTTTTGAGAAAAATTCAAACCACACAATTTTTTAGAAATTTTTTTTCTAAAGCTCATCTCTCAAATACAAACCAAAAATACCATATAATTCTCACATAGATAACGATGTTCGAATACATGACATATTACATGCTCTGATCTTGATTATGTTAAAATTTTGGAGACATCCAACCCAAGCTTGAGTGACTTAGGGCATCTCCAGTCCTTACTCTTTACCCATATCAAATTTATTAAATTCGAGTAAAAAACTACCAAAACATTCATCTCCTCCTTTACTCAAATCAAATGACATGTTTACTCAAAATTTTCAAAGCTATTTTGTGACTTTGAAATTTATCACTCAGCCATTACTAAAGCTTTTACACAGATACATGCTTAAATAAGAGCTTGTCTCTTGGAGTGATTCATATGAAATAAACCTTTTATTCAAAAATTTTACTCAAGCATAGTTTTGAATAATATACTACAATATTTATCTAAATAACCCTCTGCATCCTACAGTTACTTCTGATAACATCATACACATAGGTTGTTAGTCTGGTAGATTTTGCCCCAAATAGCAATTACCAAAAGCTAATGCTACAAAAAGTATAAACAAACTCTAGAAATGAACCAGTACAACTTAGGGCAAATAAATTTGAGAGAGAGAGAGAGAGGAGAAGTTATACCAGATCAATGGAGAGAGGCAAGGTGGAGGTTTGGAGAAGGTGGGGATGACGGAGCCAGGAGTTGACGATTTTCTGAGAGACGATGTCAAGGCTGAGGCCGGCTCCTATTGGCCTTCTAGTTGGTGGTGAGATTGATTTCTCCACCACCACCTCCTCCCACCCTGCTCTTAGAACATCCACATCAAAGTAGCTAAAATCGTTTTTTAGCTAAATTAGTGATATTCTCCATAAAAAATAGACGTGCATCAGCCTCGCTATTGTTCATCGCTACAACAAGTGAGGTACTGTTCATTGTTACAACACGGAGGTATTGTTTATTGTTACGGCACGAAGATTAATATTATCGGATGTCTGTTCAGACGTTCGGCCGGTCAACTGGCCAGTCAACCGGTTAACGGGCAATTTTTATTTTTTATTTTTTTTTCTATTTTTTTTAAAGAATTGTTTGGTTGGTAACTTATTAATTTAATAAAAAAAGAAAAATAACAAACCCAATAAGAAAATAATATTTTAATAAGATTAAATTAGAATAGGGAGTTTGATACCGTAGGTACTAAAGAGGTGACTAACTAAAATAGTAAAATAACTTTTTTAGTTATAATTTGATTAAAATTTTGAAGAACCTGGTGTGGATGCTCTTATATATTTTAAAAATAGGGTAAATTACAAATACACCTCATGAGGTTTGCTTAAAATACAGATTGTTTCTTGTGGTTTGAAAAATTATAAATACCCCCTCATTAAAAAAATTAACTAAAAAAATAACCTTGCCTCCTATATAATAGTAAAATTACTTAAATTATTAATTGAAACATATTTTTAACATTATTAAAAACTATTAATTGACTTGATAATTTATTAATAAAATAGACGATTTGTTATGAAATTAAAAACATCAAGAGGTGAAATGTAATTTTCAAAATCATATAAAACAGTTCATATTTTAATCAAATTTCAGAAGATGTATTTATAGTATCCTTTAAAATATCATGATTTTAATGAATAAATTTAAAAAAATCTAGTATTACCAACCTGTCAATTTCCAATCAGGTATATGTGTAAAAAGTACTGAAACAAATATCAATATCAATATCAATATCAGTAAATGACTCCCAAAGCATATTGACATCCCATCAAAGAGGAGAAAATAATCAACACTTTTTTTCTCCTGGTACTTGAATCCAGATATTCATACCAACAACAAAAAAAAAAAAAAAAAAAAAAAAAAAAACAAAAACAAAAACAAAAACAAAAACAAAACAAAAAAAAACAAAAAACAAAAAAACAAAAATCAGCATGTGTAATGAGTTCATATAATCTGAAGTCAAGGGAAACAAAAGTCACCCACATCAGACAATCTATTACAGTGTTATAATCTAGAAAAACAAATATTCGTAAATTCTTCAATTCCAGTCCATCATCATACATGAACATATATACAAGCACAAATTAATACAGAATACACACAATTCATGCTGATTATTGGTTGTGACACAAAAATACAATTCATGTATAAATAAGGTGGAGGATTGGATTCACAGGCAAATAGAAGATATCATCTACTCCAGTAGTATTGAAGGAACATCACCAAAGAAAGGCATGTTTTTCTGCAGAAGCGCTTCGCATTCCTCAGGACTCACCATCTTCGGATCAAAAGGGTTGCAATCAGAAACAACTAAACCTCGTTTGATGCGGCCCATTTTCCACGAATGTAGTACTTGCTTCGAAGTGACTGGAAGCCTTATAGACTGAAATTCTCTAAGTGAAGAATGTAGATTTTCTGTTCCTCACTTCTCAAGGCACTTGCCCAAAACTATCACGTCTAATATCGTCATGTTTGTGCTCCTTAAGCCATGAGGGGTTGTTGTACGAGCAGCATCTCCAACTAATACCACATTGTCCCAAAATATTTGTTCTAAAGGATCACAATCATATATGGCGTTTATGAAAGGTTCCTTTGTTTCTTTCATGACTCTAACCAATTCTGGAACCCAAACCTTCTCTGCTTCTTCATGCATTTTCTTGATCATGTCGCTGCTTACTTTCATGGTCACTGAATTCCCCTGCATTCACTTTTTTCATTAGTCGGTTCAAACTGGTTAGACAACAGTTCAGTCTCTATGTTAAGCACAAGGAATTGCATTAATTTATTATCAAATCAATCCAACATCCTTACACTGTATTTTCCTATGAAATTGGGTCAATAACCTTGTCTTCGTTGCGCATCTATGCAAACTCTAAAACATTTCCTTTATGCACAAAACTTGCTTTCTATTTTCATCCTACTCAACCCTCTCAGAGATTTCACCCGGGCGATAATAAAACGAGGTTCTTTTATGTTTTGGAGAGCATTCAATCATAATAGGATAAAAAGCAATATCTTTGCATGTGATAAGATAAAAATAAAGAATCACCTTAAGGTCTGGCTCTGGTTGGTTGATATACCAAATCCAGTTGAACTTCTTGTTCAAAAGTTCATAAAACATGCTGTGTGTCTTGTAACCTAAGTTGAAGTATAAGCATTTCCCAAGATCTGGATATGCTTCTCTGATGCCTTCGATGGCTTCTGAATACTTATTATCTGAAAAATCTAGTACTCCTCTCCATGCACAATAACCCGAGTACCTGCACACGTTAACGATAATGATTTAACAAATTAAAATATCACAGAACACCTCACAATCCATAAGCAATAATTTCAGAGTTAAAAAAAAAAACCCAAATTTGCATTTTTGTGTCAATTTACAAACCTCAACTTGAATTCTGGAATAAAACTTCTTCTGATTGAAGAAAGACACCCATCTGCTGCAATGAGCAAATCACCAACTATTTCGGTGATTTCACCGGTTTGAAGGATTTTAGTCTTGACTTTAACATTAGACTTGTCATTAGAAACGTAGAAAGAGAGGTACAAGTGGCTCCAGAGAAAAATATCCGGTGGTAGACCATTGTGCAGAAGACTCTGGAGATCAGCCCAATGTGCTGCTCTAAAATTGAAGTTTTCATCTCTAGTAAGTGTCCAGCTGATCTTCTTCTCACCATCTGTGGCTTGATTCTATAGACCAACAGAAGCTTAAAATGAAAAGAGAAAAATCACTTGACTGCTGAAAATGAATTTTGCTGCATCCTAAATTAATTATCCAACTATTTGCTTTGCCAAACAAGGGTAGCGCAATGTACCGCTGAGGTACCTTTCAAAATTTATGTTTTCCTGGTCAAATTGTTGATCTTCAACTCACCTAAAAGTTCAAATTGTTAAGGTCAAGCTCATAAGCACATATATGTATTATAATTATCAAGTAGCCACGATATGTATTACCTTGTTTGATATGATACCATGTGTTGGCACTAAAATTTATCTTCTCTGTTGAATAAGCATAACAAATACAGAGAGTTGATCCAATGGATGCTAGGAGTAAAGATCACGAATTTACAGTGGGATGTGGATCCCAAAATGCAAAGCAAGTGGTAGAAGTGAAACAGTTAAAGGAGCAGATGTAGCAGTTGCAGTTTTTTCCTGTTGATTTATTTAGTAATGCAGCAGGATGTGGCCAAACGTGGCCCAGGTGTCAAGCCATGAAGATAGGCATGCAAGGGATGCAAGATATGTGTCTTATTTGCAAGAGAAAGAGGATGCTGCAGTAGAGAAGCAGGTACCAGCGGTTATGGAGATCATGAGCAGTTATACAAGAAGTGGAGGTAACTTGCTCTAGGATGGGACACGTGGCAGCAAAGAAGTAGCAAGACCAGCAACATAAAGGTTGGAAATTTTCACAACCTATGTGGAATTAGGAGTAATTTAACGTAGTTAGCAATAGCTTCTGTACTTAGG